GAAAGAGTGGAAGTGGGGACTCAGGGCCTGAGCCCCAGGGGGCAGCTCACAGCTCCAGCACTGAGCAGAGGCGGCCAGGGTATGTGGGGGGCTCACTCTAATCCAGTTCCAAGAGCTTCTGACCAGCATTTCCTGACTCTGCACAGGTCATAATGTGTCCCCCATTATGGCTTCAAGACCGTGAAAGGGGGCACAAGAGTTCAAAGCAGACAAGACAGAGGCTGTGAGTTCTCTTCAGTTATAAAGAGTAAAAGTAATGATAATAACAGTAATATTGATAAAACGTTAATAATAATAACAACAACTATAACTTATGCTGGGTCTTCCACCAACATTCCCTCACCTGCTCCTCAGCACTGCCCTTCAGGAAGGTCGGGGGCATTGTTACATTTTATAAACGAATATTGTTATATTTTATAAATGAGGAAACTGAGATTTAAAATGGTGAAGTCACTTTCCCCATTATCCCATTTTACAGATCAGGAAACAATGAGCCAGGGAGGGTTTGTGACACATAAGCAAGTAGGAGACCAGAATCTGGTTCCAAGGTTAGCTGACCTTCATGTTCGTAACCACAGCTGTTTCCTTCCCAGCAAAAACCATACCAGTCACTCAACAAACAGCGGCAAAGCCCGTAAGAAACTCCAGGGAGTGTTTGGGGCTGGGGAAACCGCAGTGAACGTGATGAGCCTGCGTGCTCTTGCGGCTGACCAGCTAATGGGCGAAAGACAGACCCTGAAGGCTCTATCACTCCCAAGGGTGATGAGGGCCAGGCAGGAGGCTAGGGGAGGACTTTATAACAAAGAGAGTCTACCTTCTCCCAGATATCAAGAGAGCTCTCCTGGTCAAACAAGATGCTTTCCAGGCTGCACAAAAATTCTGGTCCAAAGAGGCCAGACAGACATTGAACAATCACATAAATCTTTTCTATTGCTTAAAATGATGGGTGCCACCAAAGGGCCAGGCACTGTTGTAACCCAGTTCCAGCAGGAAGACACACATCCTGTTACCTGTCCCCAGAGACACTTCAAGCTGGAGGCAACAGCAGAAGTTACATACCTGGCAGGGAAGCCTGGCTCTTGGCATGACCCTCACCTCTTCTTGCCAGCTCCAGACCCCTGTAAAACTTCTCCTGACCTTCTGGCCACAAGGAGGTGGCTGGGGCTGCTCACACTGGGCCCAGCAGCAATTCCTGCCTCCCCTCCTTCGCGCAGCTCTCAGAATTATCGATTCTGCCACTGGAACGACCAAGATAATTTTGCTTAGCTTCAAATACCTGGTTCTCATGAATTCTTCGGCCAGAAGGTTATAAAGCTTCTTCTAAAACATGGGGGAAAGATTAAGCCTGCTTATGGTTAATAATACACTGTATCCTGTCCATCAAGCTGCCTGTCTGCTATTGAAAGTTCACTATTAGATACTTATTTAAACAGCCTCACAAGGCTTCCAAGGGAAGTGCAGTTATGCATTTTTCCCCTCCTTACCGGCGCAAACGACTATAGATAAACATCAATTCACTCCTGCGGATCCCAGTCACAGTAAATAAATTTTTCAGGAAGCTTGAGATCCGCACAAAGGCTCCGCCAAGCTCCCATTTCACACAACATCAATGTTTGGCCTCCAAGAAATAAAAGCTCTAAGGTGCCCGTCGCTAGGGCAAAATTATCAATTGTCAAGTCACTTTTAAAAGAGAGAGAAGGAGCATTTCTAGGAGACGTTTCCTCCTGCGGCGAAAAAGAAAAAAGAAAAGAAAAGGTGGATGGACAGTCACAAAGTCATTTCACCTGCAAACCAAACACTGGGACTTTCCCCCTAAAAGCCCAGGTGTCCATCTCCCAAAATCCTGGCCTTGACCCGCTGCCCCTGGGCAAGCCGAAGCAGCCACAGCTCAGAGCACCTGGTGTGGCTGAGTTCGGTGACTTTAGTGACTCAGGCTTTGAGTTATTTTTACTTTCTCAAAGTGGGTTTTTTTTCCCCCACTACTTTTAGAAGTGGCAGACGAGGTTTGTCTATTATAAAATATTTGTTGCAAACATACACACACACATACACTCGCTCACTCACTACCCCACACACAGTTCCCGTCTGTGTAAAAATCTCAAGTCGCAGTGGTGTGAGGGACAGGAGATGGGGAAGCTGAGACACCCTCCTGGGCAAACCAGGGTTTATGTAACACTCTGGGCCTCATACTCAGCATAATCCCCCTGGAGCTGAGTACCTGGAGTAGACATCATTTTGCATCTGGGAAAACTGAGGCATGGAGGAGCCTAAGCAAGGGAGATGGAACCAGAGAAGTGAACCTGGATGTACCTACATTTGAATCACAGCTCCTCCACCTCCCAGGTGCATGACCTTGGGCAGTTAACTACACCTCCTGGCACCTCAATTTCCTGATCTGTAAAACAAGGACTGCAGCAGTCTCTGCCTCCACTGTGGAAGATTAGCTGCTAAACTCACACTAGTTAGTTTTTCTATTAAAGGGTTCAGACTCTCCTCGCCGATTGCTGGCAGAAACAGGGCTGGATGAGGGAGGAGCACTGTTCTTGGAGCAGCATATCCAGCACTGATTCTAGGCCGGTCACTTCGAGTCACAGCCGTTCTCCCTGTCCCAGATTCTCTATCCAAACCATGAGACCCTGGACTCATCAGTCTCTACCATTAAAATCCACATGTGATGTCTTCACAACCACCTTGAAGGAAAGGTACTGTTATTATCCACAATTTACAGAGAGAAAAACTGAGGCTCAAAGAAAAGCAAGTTGTCAAAGACCAAGGAAACAAAAATGGCCCCGGACCTCGGTCAAGACCTCAAGTCTCAGTCTTTCCATCAGTGTCACATTTAGGACTAACACTGGAGCCCTTCTTCCTGCCTGTGCTTGTGGGAGTCATCCCCGCACCCCTCCCCACTTCCCCACAGCACTCCAAACAAGGCTCAGAGTGAAAGGACACTCTTGCTCTCACCATTTTCTAAAGAGGTTTTGTACTGGGTTGAATAGTGCCCCCCCCCACACACACACATCCCACCCGAGAGCCTCAGACTATGACCTTATTGGGAAACAGGTTCTTTCAGGAAGTAATTAGTAAAGATGAGGTCACACTGGATTAAGGGGAGCCCTAAATCCAATGATTGTGTCTTTATAAGAAGAGGAGAGGACACACAGAGACCGAATACAGCTGTGTGACAACAGAGGCTGAGATGGGAGTGATGCAGCTAAAAGCCAAGGAACACCAAGGATTGCCGGTAACCACCAGAAGCAAGAAGGGGCAAGGAAGGACCCTCCCCTAGAGCCTTCAGAGGGATCCTGGCCCTGCCAACACCCTGATTTCAGACTTCTGGCCTCCAGAACTGTGAGAGAATACACTCCTGCTGTTTTAAGCCACCTAGTTGCTGGAATTTGTCATGGTAGCCCAAGGAAACTAATACCGAGCTATTCTATAAAAAGTGCACAGAACCGCAGGCAACAATTGTCAGAGCTTTTAGAAGGTTCCAGGTTGGCAGGGGTGAAAAATCAAAATGGGCTCCATCAGTTGGGTAACCAGGATGAGGTGGCCCAATTCTGCATCCCTCAGTGACCCCATTGAGCATCTCCCTGTACTCAGGGGGATACAGAGAGAGGAGTGCAGGCCATCCAGTTACACCTGACCTTGGCCAACAGCGACCCCATCTGAGTCTTCTCCAGTCCTTCACGGAAAAGGCATGGCTGAGTCAGGAAACCTACCTTGGCAGCTTTGAGGCTGTAAATCTCACTCCCTCCCCTGAATAGTAATACCAAGGCTAACCTCCCAGGGTTATTTATTGGGCCATTCTCTGTACCAGACACTGTGCCTGCTCACCTGGCCCCTGGCTGGAGTGGGCTCACTGACTCCTTAGCCACCTTTTGAGGTGAGTGTCAAGAGTAACCCCTTACACAGATGCACAAACTGAGTCTGGGAGTGGCTGAAGATAGCTAGGACGTGGCACAGTTGGACACAAACCCCAGTGTGTTGGACTCCATCCCCCATGCCCTTAACCCAGGAGATAAAGAAGCCAAGGTCACACACAGGAAGGCCTCGGCACACCGTAGGAGCTCCGTAAATGCTGGTGCTTGCTTTGGAACCTGCGCTTTTATGATGGCGCTGTTTCTCAGAGCCTCTCCTGTGATGGCCAGAGAAGGCAGAAGAGTTCTCAACTAGTCATTACAATTAGAAGGAAAGAAAAACAATAGTTGGTATCTGTGTTAAGTTGATTGACTTGTGGCACCTTTGAAAAACCACTGGACAAAATAAGAGAGTTGTATCTTTAACACCAGGGGCCTTGTCCCCCTGAGAATAGTCACGGGCTCTGGGTGAAGTCTGGGGTTTTTGCTGTTCACTGTAAGGCACCAGCTCAGGGAATATTTCACTTGACCTTCATCAAAACCAAGGATGCCAAGACATGGGGGAGGTGGAAATAACCCCTATGTAACAGATGAGGCTGTGGTAAACAGAATTAAAAGAGCCTCCCCCAAGTTGCCCAGACTAGAGCTCAAGTCAGAAACCCAGTTCACCCAAGATGCCCCCTCATCTGGCTGCTTGCTGAGTTCTTTTTCCCCACATGTAGAACAGGTATAACAACACCAACACGGCACGCCCAGTGTCCTCGCATAATACAAACAGGGGGGTAATGACTCCTGAGGTCAGCAGGTCACTCAGGAACAGCCAGGTAGAAAGCCCAGGCCAACTCTTGGTCACCTCTCTCCCCTACAGAGTTAAGAGTCATCTGAAAAGAGGTCATCCACGGTGCCCAGCTATGTGGCCAGACATCACATGACCATGCATGAGGGAGGTGAGCTTTGTGGCTCTGCTTAGCATCCAAACCATAAGGACTAGGGCCTGCGCATCTAGAAGAACTCAGAGTTTGGGGCCAGACATTGCTAGGTTTGAGTCCCACCTCTACCACCTGTCAGCTGTGTGTCTTCAGATAAGTCCTTTAACCTCTCTGAGCCTGTTTCCTTTTGTGTAAAATGGTGACATCACATCCACCTACTTCATGCTGGCTGCTATGAAGACTTGATTTAATATACTGCAAAGTAGGAATGCAGTCTATCGTGTCTCTAATATTTAATGAAGCGCTTTCAGTACTTTGCTCTTTTAAAATTGAACTTTTTATTGTGAGATAATTATAGATGCCCACGGAGTGGTAACAAAGAATGCAGAGAGATCTCGTGTACCTTTAATCCGCTTTCCCTCAATAGTAGTAACTTACAAAACTGTGATACAAAATCACAACCAGATGTTGACGCCGATACAACCAAAATACAGAACATCGCCACCACCACGAGGGTCCCTCACGTTGCCCTTTTATAACCATACCTACTCCCCTCCCTGTCTCCATCCTTGATCACTTCTCCATTTCTCTGACCA